TTTTAACATTTTATGTATTCATAAACATGACACCCTTTGTCGACAAATTGTATTACATTTTAGACATTGGAGATCTATCTATCTACGTGAAAAAAAATTCCGATGCCTGATAAAAATCCGTGATAAACGTTTTCAATAACACTTTAAGGTGAGTTTCATTGTTCGATGAAGTTCAGTTCTATTTGAAAATTTGAACTTCAAAATTGCCTGCCTGAGGGAGTTATTGTCAAAACTATTTTCTGGGTTCCTCTAACAAAAGGACCAAAAGATCAATATCTTGACCCACAACCTCAAGGTGTCGAGGGTTTAAAATACCCGCCCCAGCAGCCCTGACGTGACCCGGATCGAAACAACGCGGCTCCAAATCGTGTAGGAAAATCGGAAAAAATATTTACACTGCCTATACAGTACTTCAACAAGTTTTTTGGAACCAGCACGCCTCTGGCTCCACTCCCTCCGGGCTAACTCCGGATCCGGAAACGCGGCACGACCCAGCACATCCTTTGATCCGTTTTGATCTGATGGTATAGTTCGCTATCGGCTTTCGCTGAATGGGCGCTCCATCATTTGTTTTTCATTTCCATCTCGCAGACTCATTAGTGAATAACGAGTAGGCAGAGTCGTTAGTTAGTCGTTTGTTTGGTCGCGTTTTCCTCCACTCGAGGAGTGTGTTTAGTGCCTCTGCGGCGACATGTAGCGGAAAAAAAATCAGGTTAGTGGAGATTTTTGCTGAATTTGTTTCGATGTCGCTTATCACTACATCTCATAAAACACAATCCCCCCTCTCTCTGTCGAGCCTAGTTCTTAAGGTGAAATGAAAAGTGGCGAACGACGCTAATGAATTTAAAATCAATTCAAATTTGTTTGAATTTGTGTTTTCAGTAACCAGCTGTCGCTCTCCTACAAACGACAACTCTCAAAAGTCGAAACATGTGCGTCTTTAAAAAGGTCTTACCTTCTAACGTGTGATTCCCAACACGGGTTGGACGATAACAAGTGAAAATCGATCGTCAGGCCTTGCGACTTGAACCACCGACTCACACAATGATCGATTGAGTGGGTGGAGTAATGTTTTCGGAAAGAGCATCCACTAAAACTGGCATATCCAAGAGAGNTCAGAACATTTTTTCTAAGGTGTGAGAAATTGATCGATTCAGTACTGTTTACTACAAATTCAGTACTTTTTGATGGATAAATTCAGTACCAAAAACAAACTCCCTAGAACAACGCTGATTATGAGATTTGAAGTTCAATTCACGATCAAACATAATTCCTAAGTCCTCTATCACTGATTTCCTATTAAATCATCTAAGAGAACAATTTGTTCAGGCCAATCTCAACACCCTACACAGTAGGTTAATGGACTAACACCTATCAGAAAACAACTACTCCCCTGGCTAATACCACGAAGGGCGTTGGATTATATCCGACAGGTGTCAGTGCAGGATTCTTCACAGAAAACTATGTTCCAGGCTAATATCACGATACACATTGGATTATGTCCGATAGACATTTGGGTAGGATTCGATCATACACAGACCGGTTTCGGAGTAGTACGTCTCATCAATGTAGGACAGATTCAACCAAGACAGTAGTTAAATGTCGTCTGGTACCGTTTATAAAAAAATCGTCTGAGAATGGAGCTCTTCAACACACCGATGAAGATCTTCCAGCACATTTGAATATTCATTTTTTTACGAGACTGTAAACATTTGTGAAATTCGAACCTTCATTCATAGAACTGGTCACGCTTGAAACAAACAGCATACTCTTTTTGGATCGCAATATCACGACACATTTACTTGTTTTGCGTTGAAATCAAACTGCGTATAAGTGGACTATTTGAATTGTTCGTTTTGTTTTGTTGTTCTATTCATTTGTGGACTTCAATTCAAGCAGTCATGCTTGAAAGACGTTGCGGTATCTTCGTTGAATCGAAAGGATCAGTGACTAGGGTCAGGTATGTTGATGTTCGCTTTTAATTCAAAACGTAATAACTTTCGAAGTTCGGAGGTTTTCAGCTGTTTGTGTTGAATAACATGCCGCTGCTGTGTTAGTGCTGTCATAGTTATGTAGTATATGTATGTTTATGATGATGTCGGGAATACATGAATGTTTATGTGGAGAACAGAGGCGATTATTTCTTTACATCTTAATTTTCGGTTGTGATAATTTTCATAGAAAAACTCCATTTACCATGATAAATTGCATGAGTTGGGCTTCTAATTGCTTCCGTATCCACCGTATTCTCCAGATCTGACCCCCAGCAACTTTTTTATATTCTCAGACCTCAAGATAATTCTCACTGGAGAGAAATTCAGCACCGATGAAGAGGTAATCGTGGAAACCGAGGACTATTTTGAACCTAAAGACATATTATACTATGAAAATGGTATCGAAAAATTGTATTATTGCCATAATCGTTGTAAAGCCCTCAAAGGCAACTATAAGGAATAATGAAATCAAATTTAATTAATTTTTTTTCTATGTTAGCCTACGAACTTTACAGCCCAATTATTAATTAGGTACAATATCTAATTGTACCTAATTGTTTATCAATTGTACTGACGAAACGGTTGAGGCTTTCGCAGCCGGGTTTAAAGGCCGTCTATTTTTGAAAGAAATATCAGAAATCGACGGCCTTCAAACCTTAAAAATAATAACTCTAACTGTGCTCTAAGTAGATACGAAATTATACCTGATTGTTTATTGAAACCTACATGTTTCACCTGGTTTAATTAATAATCAATATATTTACACATTATCTGTTTTCCTAAAAGTGATATTGAATCAACTGTTGTGCAAGAATTAATCATTCATCTACGTTTTGACATAAAATGCCAATATTTCACCTGTTTTCCCAGAAGCATTATTGTATTGTACCTGATTGTTATCTCAAAATCTACCTGTTTTACCTAATTAGGTACAATTAGGTATCACACTTAATTGTAATGCAGGTGCCATACATAATTGTACCTGATTGTTCGTTCTAATAGCACTGTAGGAACAATACCTGATTGTTCATTCAAAATCTACTTGTTATATCAGATTCAAACATTTATCTAATGAGGTTTTGGTATAAAATGTCATTTCACCTGTTTTCTTAGATTCTTTTTCAAAATCTTTCTGTTTCGTCTAATTAGGTACGATTAGGTATTGCACCTAATTGTAATGCCGATACAATACATAATTGGTCATTCTAATTGCACTGTAGGACAATACCTAATTGTACCTGATTGTTTATTCAAAATTCAACTGTTATATCAGATTCAATCATTTATCTAATGGGGTTTTGGCATAAAATGTAATTATTTCACCTGTTTTCCCAGAAGCAATATTGTATCGTACCTAATTGTTTTTTCAAAATCTACGTGTTTGTCTAATTAGGTACATTTAGGTATCGTCTTCAATTCAATCTTCTCCTTGAAGATGATCAATTGGTGATTGAAACACGTGTCGAGGTGTTGAAAATAACAGCTTGGTGTTGCGAAAAAACTCCAATAATATTCATATAGATTGTAGAATAGTTTGATATACCATCCCAACTAATGAAGCTACCGTAGCATGTTGAATAAAATTTATTATGATGGATAATGTCACTCTTATCAGTATCGTCTTCAATTTAATCTTCCCCTTGAAGATGATCACTTGGTGATTGAAACACGTGTCGAGGTGTTGAAAATAACAGCTTGGTGTTGGGAAAAAACTCAATAATATTCATATAGATTGTAGAATAGTTTGATATACCAGCCCAACTAATGAAGCTACCGTAGCGTGTTTAATAAAATGTATTAGGAAGGATAAGGTCACTCTTATCAGAACCGAGTCGCTAGTGTCTCAGAAAAACCGCCAGAGCGAAGAAATAAGACAGTTGATGCTCAGAAGAAAAGTTTGGATACTTGAAGAAAAAACAAAAATGATATAATAAGAGATAATTTATGGATAGATCAAGTTGAATCCAGAGTAGGAAAGACCATCAAAGAAATGAGCTAAACAGTAAAAAACGAAAACAAAGAACAAATAACTTTTCAACGATGAGCCAAAAGAGAAGTTTTCCTGGAATACAATTCCTGAGTGAAAATATTGGGGAAATTTCTGCGTTTCATCCTTTGTTTATAATCTTCTGGAGCAGCTATTTTTTTTTCGTTGAACTTTGAGAAGAAAAATGAAACCACTTTCTGTTGGCCTTCAATTTGCACAACATGTCAGACAAATGGAATCTCAATCTCAGCATCTACAGTGAATTTCTCAATGAAACACCTGTTCTGTCGAAACAACTAATATAAATATTGTTGAATGTAAATATCCAAGAATGCGATTTGCCTAGAGAATTTGCATAGGCCCCAAGGTTGACAACTTGTCGTTAGGATACTTCATTCAATTGTCGGCAGTTTATAAAAAACAGTAGTGATGACATAATGGAAGCATTCAGGTTCAAAAAGTGAAAAGAGGAAGCTGTTAATGTTACAGTCGAATCTGACACGCCAACTTTGGCGATTTTGTAATGTCATTGGGAGTTCATACGGGGTTTATACAAAATGTTGGTTTCGAGGCAAACAATTCTCACTATTTCCAGTAGGGTCAGGTGGAATAAGTGCAGACATTGGGCAAGTTGCTCACACATTTTGATCTTGAATGAAATCTAGTGGCGGAGTTTGGAGCTGTATGTTAGTTCACAAGACAATATTTTAAAGATCATATAAAACTCAACCGTTACTTAACAGTAACACTCTCAAAGTTCTTCATCCACATAGACAAAGCTTTTCCCCTAGTACAAAAAAGCTTCTTTCCCAATCGCTTATCCTTTCGATCAACAATTATGGAGACTCTGTCTATGATCCTCTCTTGGATTCGGCTAGTCAATATAAAATACGACACAAAACCGACAAAACTTTGAAACAACTTAATATATGATCTGAATGACTTGTTTGAAGATACTGAACATAAAATCAAAAAGTTTTCGTTTATTTCCAGGTACATCGAAAAACTTTTCCCAAAACAACAACAATCTAGTGACAAAAAAGTCACCGTTGCCTTCAAGTTCTTCGAATCAATCTTCTCCAACACTTTTCAAAGAAGGTAAGTGTTCAACAGTTTATAGCAAATCTATCAAATGATATGCATACTTCTTTCTCTGTAACAACTTTCTATAACCCTCTCCATTTTCACTAACCCCAAACTGTCAGCTGTCAAATAGTTTTCCAGCAACTTACTGCGCAATTGGCGGCAAATTAAAATTTTCCGTTAATACTGTGACACCCCTTGTCTTATATTACCAGCCTTTTGATAAAGATGAGAAATCCAACTCACACTGACAGCATACAGCAGGGGTCTCCAAACTTTGAAGCCTTCGGGCCAAAATTATTTTTTCAGTTCGTTCCAAGGGCCAATTTCTGCTCTTAACTATATTTCTAGACTAGGATAGTCGCAAAGTGCGTGACCTAAGCAAACTTACGCTTTTTTGCATTTCAATTATTATTGTGTATTGTGACACTTAACGACATCTAGTGGCGAGTAGTGGTACTATGTACTAGGTTTTTCAGCTACCCGCTAGGTGGTATTATTAAATATTTTACTTTCCACTACAGCGGGACACTCGCCTGAGTCCATAAAATATATCAAGTCGTCGGTCGTACTAAAAATATAACGTTAAGATGTCAGTTCTTATTGAGTAATTAATTTTAATACATAGTGATATCAGAATTCATGATTTTGATAGACGTTGAATTGGATAACAGTGCATGGAGCACGCACTGACGATTTGTCCCTCTTAAGTTGATATTTAGCCCGCTTAATTCCCCCAAGAGCGGTTCATATCATAAAATATCTGATGTGAGCAATGAGCTCGAATCAACTTGAGAGAAATCCCAAGCCAAATCGTCTAATTCATTTATTTATTATTTTCAGGTGATTTCAGATACACTTCCACAGATTTCGCCGAGGCATCTCCAAGATCCTCGTACACAAACTGTACTCTGAGTCCTTCTAGTCCATCGATTCTTTCAGAAGACGGTATGTATGCAAAATCAACATTTTTGCTACAGATTTAATGAGTTTTCTGTACGTGACAATAGCGTTTTTCGATCAAGAATCGAAACACAAATCGTATACCAAACATATGTTAATAGGGAGTCAAAATATGGCTTTACTTCCGTCACTGTTTACATCAGAACATAGGCGTACGTAGTTTTATCAAAAAAGGTGCTCTTTTTCAGTAGTATAGAATCTCGAGAAGTTTATAATTTTACGTTTAAATTTTGTCCTAGAACAAGTTGGTCTTGAATAATTTTCAACTAACACAAACTTTTGAAAACACGAAAAATCTATTAAGAAAGAATGTTACGTGATACGATTGGTCTATTTTGAATACCAGTATATAGTTTTGTTGTAACTAAAATATATTTAAGAGCACTGATGAAACTCCTATTGAACGAATGATCAAATCAAAAGACAGTTATCGATTTCTCTATTACGGCATAGTGCGTTTGAGGTTATGTTATGTTCTGAAAAACATGTTTGTTGACTGAAGGTAATTAACAACGGAATTTATATTCAGTGCAAAATCTGATAAGAATGGTGATGGTGGAATATTCTTCAAAGGGGTTGATAATTTCATAATTTCAACTTTGGAAAAATTGAGCAATCAGTTGAAAAACTCTTACCGTCACTAGATTGGACTGAAACAACAGAACAAACAACAAAAGTTATCTATTTCGTATATAGTTCTGCAGAAGATTGGTAAATCTGTACTTACTTACACAGATGGATTCAATTTTACATCTTATTTAAAAGTTCTACATTTTTTTCATTTTGCAGATATTCAGATAGATGGAGTTAGTCAGTCTCTCTATCAATAACAAGGCTGTACACTCTCTATGTCATCGTCCTTTCTAAGAATAGTCAAGGTGCGTCACATCGGGTCTTCACGCAAGTCATTTCCCACGCCCGGGTGAGAAATGAAAAAAAAAATATTCGTCCTTCAAATACACTGTAGAAAGTTTTTCAAAAAAAATTGATCATTTTCCTATTGAAGTGAAGAAAAAAGTTTTGATAAACGTCATTAAAATTCGAATTCAAATTCATTTTGTCGAAAATATGGAACGTAAATCAATGAAGGCTGTTCAAGGTCGAACCCAAAACACTACCCCAAGGTCACTTTGCCTGCGTTGTGTGAGTAGGTCGAAGTCATTCAAAATCAAACCCAAAACACCACCTCGAAGTCGTCTTGTCCCTATCGTGTGATGTTGGTCAAGGTCATTCGATGTCAAACCCAAAACACTTCCTTGAAATCACCTTGACTACATTTCGCGATATAGGTGAAGGTCGTTTCAAGGTCAACGTTGGTGTGGGAAGGTTCCGAAATCAGCTCAAAACAACTACTACTAAGCCTGAAGTTGCTAACCATTCATATCAGCGAACCCTACCCAGGCGAATAAAGTTGATAAAGTTTTGATCCAGGTATAAAAATGCCAAATAGAAATGAGGCCAAACAGTCGCTTGACATTATAATATGACAATTGAAACCTTTGGAAAAATTCAAAGCTTTCTATTTTTGATCACCTGAGCAAAAAAACTCATCACTTCAATTATTTCTCTCAATTCACATGTCAATACGCCAAGTAGACGTTTGGTGTGAAATATTTATGACTTCTTTCATTTTCTGAACAAAAATCTAAGAAAGTTCTATTGCATTAAAAAAAATTGAACATAACATAACCTCACCCTGAAGACCACCCCGCGTCGACGCCTATGTTCTAAAAAGACCCGAAACGATTTGCACGTTCTTTTAATGTCGTGATATCCGTCGTCCTAAAGTCAGTACCAAGTACCGACGCTTCCTAAATACGCCTCTAACAGTGTCCAGTGGCTCTCGAATAGTGACCTAGTGCTAAAAAGTCTGTGTCCGTGTGTGCTTGCCTAAAAAAATAACAAGTGCTTTCCGGCTGACCCGTTTCCCTCCAAAAAATACCTTAAAATGTGTTACTGGTGTATTTCAAATTTCTAGACGAATACGGAATAGCGGTTTTCAAGGTTGAAAAAATTACTGGTTGTTTACTTCTCCTCNAGCGTACATAGTTTTGTGACAATCTGATATGAATTCAGGCAAGTCATTGATAAAAGTCAAGAATAACAATGGACCCAGAACAGACCCTTGTGAAACACCCAGTTTCACCTTCGTTTTATGTGAAAATGTTCTCAGCAGCACAAATTTTTCATAAGATATGATTTTTTCAATCAAAATGATGGAAGGAGTTACATGAAATGTTTTTTCCGCTACAAAATCGAGGACTGTAAAGGTATTATTGAAAACGTTGAAAACTATCGTTTCATGTGAAAATTTCCATGGCTGGCCATGAAATTATTGTTATGAAAGACAACTTTTCATGACTAGCAATGAATTTTAACGACCAATGGTGCCTTGGCGCACTCCTTTCCGTTAATGGTAAATTCCCCCAATTCGTGGCTGAAATCCATGGCTGCCTTCACACTGGTCGATTTATTTGGGTTCCCAAGAATTAGCTTTTCGTGGACACGATGAAACCGAAGATTCGATGGGGCAAATATGATTCACAATTTGGCACTTTTTTAAACGGTAGCGTTTTTTTGTGCACTTCAAAAACCATCCAAAATTAGGTTATAGACAGTGTGGCATATATTATTAAGGAAAATATAAGCAAGGAGATTGAAAGCGTTTTTTTTGCATGGGAAATTGATGAAACTACCGATATTGTCTGTACATCACAACTTTCAATCGTTTTTATATATGTCAATTCTCACCTAAAAATAATTTTCAGCGAGGAGGCTCATTTCTTGAGGAATGGGTATGCGAATAAAGAAAATTTTAAAATTTAGGACGATACCCCGAAAATGTCTCTGTTTGGTGTGGATTTTGGGCGTGCGGCGATCCATTTAATACACCTGCTCACTCGTTACTGCTTGTTCGTTATTTTTCAGCTAACAACAAGACCGTAATCATGCCTCAGCCTTCGTATTCACCACATTTGGCCTCCTGCGACTTTTTCCTCTCCCAAAGATTGAAGGGGCCCATAAAAGGAGGCATTTTTCACGACGATTGGGGAGATAGAAACCGAATTGTTCAAAGAGCTCAAGTATGTACCAAAAAGTGCATATGAGATCTGCTTCAAAGATTGGAAGAAATGCAAAATAGAAATTGATGAATAAATGAATATTCTCATAACTCCAGCTGTTCCCCACTCTTTCTCAATGTCTTACTGCAGAAAATTGAATATTCCGTCAATTTTTACATTTAATAATTGAAAATGTCTCTTTCAACTTCGTTTAAACGAACAAAAAGTTGAATTCATTTTGAAGAAAGGTAAAAACAAAAATTTTTTTCCAAAATTATTCACTTAAAAATTGATTGTTACAATGATATCCAGTTTATATTAATTACACTGGTGAGCTGCCCCGGCTCCGCACGGGTGCAATGCTGATAGGTTGTTTCAAAGATCTAAGCATACATAGGGACAGACAGCGGGAAGCATATTCATTTCAGTTGAATATATCTTCAAACAAATTCCGTACAATTAGCTTATTCTACATTGTTAAATTATTCCCCATCCAAACTTACATCATATCGAATCCTCATCAAACCTATTTTCTGAATAGAATGTTCACCCAGTAAATCACTGTTTATCCAAAATAAATATTCATGAAACTCATGTTATACGATCAATCATCAAGTTCGTTGCGCATTATCTCAAAAGATTAGATAGCCCTCTCGAAATTCTCAAAAATAACACCAGTAACACATCGAACCGTTCTTCTCGCTGTGCCGCTTCTCACTCTCCCATCGATGTTTACCTTCGTCAATCCCGCATCCCTGTATCAATTCGGAATTCCCGTACAGGAACCTGTGACGTGACGTCCGATAAAGAAACAGCACTAGAAAACATGAGCGACACCCAAACCAGCTCGAAGTCGCAAAGGCGCAGGCAGCGGAGGAAAAATCGTAAGACGCACGATAATAACCAAAATACTCAAACATTCTGTGATAGTAAACTAGTGCTAGAACCCTGTAGAATCCTTCAAGAAGAATACCTAGTTCAATCACCAGCTGAACTCGTTAAAAAGTCCACCAAAGCCAAGCCTGTGAAGAGCAGAAGCCTCGACGATGACGACATGGTGAACATTCAAGAAGTCTCAGAAACTAGCGAGGCAGAAGACAAAGAAAAAGACACTCAAGCCATAGTTTCAGAAGCATCTGAAAGCGAGGTGGAATGGGAAGAAACCCTGAGCTTAGCAGCGACTTCAACTCCTCTCCAAGGGTCGTTGAGCACTTTCACTCTACCTCTGGAAGGTTTCAGCACGGACCAAGTCACCCTGATATCCCCTGAGGAGGAAAAATCGCTGCGAAACTTTCTGGAAAGTCTGAACCTGGTGAACGGTCCTGAAGAAGCAGCATTACAAATCTACGAGAAGAGCACCGTAGAAAGTATAAAGCAACGTAAAGCTAAGAAAAGAGCTGCATTGGAGGAATACTTCACCCCACTCAGTCAGAACTCTAGGTTCTTGGACGCTATAAGTGAGGAAGCTAGCGACAAAGACAGCGACAAGGAGCAGCCGAGTCTCACCAGGCATTTGAAACAAGGAACGCCAGAACTCGATGTGCCTCCAAAAGTTCCTTCCAGGACTAGCAGGCAGAGGAGGCAGGCTTTACCCCCAAAATTCTCCGCTCCCGTGGAGCAGGCCCCTGCCGTCTTAGTTGATGCAAAAATCCTGGAAAACCCGTCAATGTCTGAGGGATACTGCAGTACTGTCAGAACCGAAGAAGCCTCAGCGTCTACTGTGGAGGTAGTTTTTCTTACTTCATCTGGTACCGACTCTCCAGAAGAAGTGGAAAGTAGAAGTAGTGACAGCTACGAGTTGGAAGCTGGACAGGTTGATAAAGAAGAATCTGAAGTTGAAGCAGAAACTACGGCAGAAAAATACGGCAACACAGTCAAAAGTGATCACCTTAACGAGAGTTGCGTGCTTCAAGAAGTTTCTGGGTGCAATGAAACCACTCAAAGCACCTCCTCGACGCAATATAGCTTCACATTGAAAACTGACAAGGTCGAAGAAAATCAGACAATAATGCTCTTGTCCCAACTCACTCCACCTCCTACACCAGAAAACTTGTCACCCAAGTATAAAAATATACTGGGATCAGAGGCAGTTGAAGATTCCCTGCAATCTGATGTACATAGCTGCGCTGTAGAAACTCAGTACACCAAGTTTGCTGATACAGATCTGAATACCAAACCCGAAGATACTATTCTAGACCAGAAAATCAAACTGGACCCTAATGTGGAAACCAGTGAAGTATATACGAATGTCATAACACCCCCACCGCCATCTAGATCTTCTTCCAGCAGCAGAAGTTCGAGCAGAGAGAGCTCCCTATGTACCGCCAAGTATAATCCATCAACATCCTCTATAATTGAGATTTTATCAAGAGAAGAAGATGATGATAGTTGCACCCAACCCCTTACTCTTCGCGAGCTATGTTTGAAGCTCCTACTGACGCTTCCCCATGGCCAAGAGATGCTACAAGAGCTAGCTGAAGTTTCCAAGCAAATAGATTCCTTCACTAGATCCCTTCCCAGTACCTTTTTACCTCAGATAGTCCCTATAGCACACTTCACAAGTACTACAAATACAGACGTTAATAATAGTTCTTATAACCTTTCAGTCCAAAAATCCCACAAACGATTGCCTTCCGAAGAGGAAAGGGAACAAGAACAAAAGGAAAGTACTGAAGATTCGACGAAAACGAGTGTGGGGGTGACTTTTTTGAGTAGGGGTACCATAGGGGGTGAGAAAGACAAAAGTGATTCACTGTTAGGGCAAGATGGTTTGAAAGATCTGAGTCAGGTGAAGGAAGAACAATCCAAGCAGCTGAGTAGTTTGAGTGTTGAAACGACCAAAACAGCAGATACAGGTGAAAGAGAAAAAATTTATATTCACGAACCAACTTCAAGAGAAACAGTCATTCCAATTCAACTTGAAGTGGAAAGGGATATACCAATTGTCATCGAGAAAGCTATTCCCAAAAGTAAAGAAATTGTTATACCAATACAAAAAGATTGGTTAGATCTAAAGAGCGAGGAATTCTCCCAGTCCTCAACAGCCTCTGCTGAAGACAAAATGAAACAGAGACAAATGCCGATGAAAAATGATTGGTTTGGTTTGGCTTCTGGTGGTGACCTTTTGCCTCAGAAAGGGCAAGAAAAGGGGGGTGAGAAGATTCCAGATGGGTCCAATAAACTTCTGAAGCTGCACGAGAAGTACGTCAACACAAAAAATAGCCAAGAGGAAGTCAAACAAATAGAAGAAACAAGCCTGAGTAGTCCTGGATGCAACAGGCTGCTGACCATCATAAAGGAGGAACCTTCTACAACTGTGGAAGACAGTAACTACATATATTTCGTAGAAAAGGAACCAAAGGCTGCCTCAACGTTGCCAAGAGAGACAGCAAGGCTGCATGCCAAAGATCTATCAGAATGGCTGAATTTAGCCAGAAACAAGAGCATGAGTGAAAGCAATTTGAGTGCTGTTCCAGCTATTCCCGAAAATAACTTGAGGAGCTACTTTGTTATGCAGTCAACGCCTGCAGCACCTCGTCGACGCACGTCTCTTCCCCAGGTTCTCTACGAGAAACAACTTCTCTACATCCAGGAGAAGGAAAGAGAAATCCAGCGGCAGCTTGAACAGTTAGAGGAGGAGAAGAGGTTGTTGAATGCCGAAATGGAACCCTTGAGGGAGTTTCAAGCCGAAGACTTCTACTTCTCTCGCAAAGGTGACTTCGCTGAGAACAGACAAAGGCACTCCATGCCTGCCATCCCCACCGAAATTTTCCGTCAGCAAATGTACGAGGAGTACATGGACAAGTTCGCGGAGCGAGAGGAACGTAAGCAGCATAAGGTCATCAAGGTTACCTCATCCAAGGACTTAAATCCGGTCGGCGAGAAAGCCGGAGCTAGGGAAATTGTTCATCCCATCCAGATTGAGGATGAGTTCATGGACAAGGTGAAGCAGAAGCAAAGAGAGGGGAAGTTGGAGAAAGTGAAGAGTTTGGACATTGACGGGAGTGTCGCGTTCGTGGAAGAAGGAGATCCCGTGTTGGTGATCGACGGCGAGAAGCTGAAGGAGGCGAAAGCGTTGCCGAAACATCTGCAAGAATTTGTAGGAGACGACGGTGAGTTTTGATGTGATGTGAATTAGATATTTGGACTAATATCGCTGTATCACCTACTAATGTTGAATAAATAACGTTCTGAATGTGATTGATTTGTTTTTATCGATAACGTACATGTGTGTGTGTGTGTGTTTCAATCGTTATTTGTGTTGTTTCTCTCTTGTCGGTGACGCAATATTTCACCGCTGCAACATTCAAATTTCGGTTCTAAATATAAAACTTTAAAATTAGGTTATATCGTACAGACGTAGGAAATGTTTCTTTCATAAGTTATTCATCCAAGGAACTTGTTAGCTACTTGATATTTCAAAACGATTGTGATGACGTCAAGGTTGTTGAATTGATTTCTAATGGTTCATTGGTTAGGTACTGGAAAATATCGTTTGTGCAGAGGAAAATGTTGCAAATACGCTAGGAGATTGAACAAAGTACTTAGTAAAAATAGAGGACATGCTAAAAGTAGCTTGTTACACGAGATAGATTGTTCGCTAGTGTTGGCGAGAGGATTTTTGCTGCAGAGAGGTTTGTTTGTATCGAGTATGGTAGATACATCATTCATAAGATCACTTCACTGAAAAAGTATGGGATATCTCAACAAAAAACATATAATTGAACTGAAAGGAGTCGGGAGTTTATCTACTGAATGTAAAAACAAATGAATATTTTATTTTCGATCAGAAACTCATATTTCAGAAAAAAATGAGGCGATTGTGAACAAAAGTCTCACGTGTACAAGAATAAAGTGATTTTTTATAATTGCATTTACTTTGCAATGTTAGTTTTAAATGTATTGTTCCAAGCTCTGTTCGAAACTTATGTATTCTATCATCGGTTTCCCAATATCAGAATCTTATGGTCAACCAAGAGTAATTAATTTTCTGTACTAATTCAAAAATATTGAAAAGTATATGGTGTATTTTAAAATTCCCCATGAATAATAATCGATATCATATATGCGACTCATCAATCGTGTATAAAGTAAACAGGATGATTGCCTTATGTTCGTTTTGTATACTATATTGCCAGAATATTAAAAAATTTCGGTAATTTTAATGCACTTCAGTATTGTTAATGTTTTTTATTGAGACGTGCCATATATGAAAACATTTATATAAGTATATTCCCAAAAATAGTTCAGGGTCCAATCTGACGTAGAGATATCCTTACTTGGAAATGACAAAAGTATGGTCCACCAAAACATCATCATTTCTGCATTTTTATTTAGTTATCCAATATTTGTAATTAATTTCAGTTTTAATTGCATGTGAATTCATAATGTGTTATGTCAGTAACTGTATCATCATGAATAATACTTTGAGAAAAGAAAAGAAGGAAGTTACAGGTTTTGACGAGCAATATCATCATTGACACAAATTTATAGAATGTTTTCAGTAGGGTTGAGAAAAACTGACAAACTGCAGAAGATTTCAACATAGCGGTTGTCGTCTCTATGACTATTTGTTTATGTAAACTCCGATCTTCTTGAAAACTGGGGTGGAACTATTCCTATCATCATCAAATCTGGATACTGAAGAGACAGATATATTTCAAATCCTCTTTCAGAGCAGATTGTGAGATATTTCAAAATGCAACATTAATCTAGAGTAAATGCTAGTAGAACTAGTTCAGTTATAAAATATTCGATATTGTACTTTGATATACAGCGTGACTCACGGTCGATGGTAGGTTAGACGTTTCTGGAAAACGCAAAGCATGATTTTTCTGATAGGACATTATCAACAAAAAAGTATTAAAATACCAGAGCGATTCCAAAAATGTATTAATATACGGGGTGTTCCATTTAAAAAAATAAAGTTGCTAGAACTTTTTGATGGAAGTGGCAACGCCGCAATGCTGAAAATATTTTAGATCAATAGAACAGGTAAGGAAATGTGAGAGGTGAAATTTTCAGAAAAATCATGCTTTGCGTTTTTCAGAAACGTCTAACCTACCACCTACTTGACAATAATTATTACCTCAATTCAATAATTCATAATGCACCTGTAAACTAATTTATTCAGTTAGATTAATCACAGCAACCAAAGAGATAATGAATCGTGACCGATTCTTTCATGTCTGAATCGAATATTAATGGAGTTCATAAATGTTATTGAAGTTTCAACAAGCACAACATTTGAAGGTGGAATTTTTCCTAGTATAACATTTCTTTTTCTGATATTAACTTATAATCCGCAGAAAATTAGTTTGAATTATGAAATAAGTCGGGTAAAATTAGTTTCTGGAAAGCGTCCAACTGTTTTAGAGTAGGCCGAGCAAATAAATAACAATACAGCGTGTTCAAATGAAATTGTTTGAATGATGTTTCCATTCAACATTTTACTTTTTGTTTTGCGATTCCGTGATTAACCATGATATGAATTGAAAGACATTTTCGAGCTGAGAATTCAGTAATACAGAAGGTTCGATTGTGTAGCCATTTTAGTTAAATTTCACATATATTTGAACTACAAAGCGATTATCACTCTAAAATAATTCAAATAGTCAATGAAAATTTCTGTGTACGTCAATCTGATATCGTGGCACCACATTTACGTCACAAAATGCTACAGATCTCCAGCAACTGACGTACAAGTATTCATTTCGAATCTCCAAACTCATCTGGAAAGAAGATTTGAATTGTTTACTGGAGTTATGAATAAATTGAAGATAGTAGAAGGAAATCAAGTGTTTTGATACAAAATAGGGCAAACTATAGACACGGGTTTTGAGCTTACGGCCCATCATCAGAATGATTCAGCCAAGTGCGAAGATGAGCAACATTTGGTTTCCAAAATAAGTATAAATGCATGAAACTATCAGCAGAAGTCAGCCGCATATTTGTGATTTAGGTTAACAGATCTTCTGTCTACAAGAATACTACTGAAAATACCATAGAGGCAGCAATAGCTACCTGCGTGACATTTGGGTCCAGGAAAGCATACACCTATGAAGAATATCGAGTGTCTCGATGTATCACACGTGTTTCGAATCTTTTGTCCATCATCAGTATGGTGCAGTCATGTGTGCTGTTGAGCAACACGAATGTGCGGCTGTCTTCTGCTGATGGCCAACTATTGCCAACTTTAGACAAAAAGAATCAGAAAAAAAAGTCACAGAATATATTTGAAATGAAGAAAAAAAAGAGATTCAAGTTTCGATATGAGATAACTCCATGTAACGTACCACAAGGTATGGCTCTTCGCCTAGTCCTTTCCTACTTCTTTATTAACACTGAATTCCAACTGAATTTTAATTAAGCGAATTAGAAAAGATGTTGAAAACACATCTATGGAAATAACTTTTTGATAATCAACTGAGCATCATTTTTATTATCATGGAAAAGAAGTAGAGTTTCCAAATTCCACTTATCATGTGCGAAACAGATTCAGTTCTCAGAAACAATGGGTATTGTGCTTCTGCCACTATGAAAACAAAGTTTGGTAACTTCAGCTACAATAAAATGAAGCCAACATTCTTGGAAATCACTATTTCCATGCAGCAAGCAGAAAATTGCTTAAAACTAATCATCAATCAATATTTAAGAGAAATTTCAGCACTAAATTGAAAACCTGTACTATGCTTTCATTACGAATCAACTAAAAAACCCTCTTACTTCTTAGTAATTCTAAAATCGTTATTTGAACGTCAGATTCTAAATTTCCCTAGCTCAAAACTATCTTCTCATGAACTGTAGCTCATAGAGCTATAGCTAGTGTTAGGAATCACACGTTAAAAGGTAAGACCTCCTTAATCCTTAGCTCGCACAAGTTTCGACTTCTAAGAATTGTCGTTCGTCGGGGTGCGACAGCTGTTCAACGAAAAAATTGTTTTTTTTTAAACTATAGCTGATGAAAAACGCAAAAAGCAATAATTCCTAAGCACAACATGCCAGTTTCAAATCAACGCCTCAATGATTCCGATGAAGAATTTCAGAGAATTCGTTACATATGTTTTGTTTAGAATTCGCTTCAAAGTAAAGGTATGAGTCAAGGTTTTATTAATATACAACTAGAACTCATCGCATTGACAGGTTTATCATCTCAATTTTCCGGTATATTTGACGCTAAACATGTGGAACACATGATTGACATATATTTTGATGAGAACAGAATATCCAACATCACGATGTTGAAACTGAAATACCATGCGGTGGATAATTGTGTGTATTACAACTGTGGAATTATGAAAAAAACTAGGTTTCATTTGGGATCAACAAGATTTTTGTTTTTATTCAGTTTATAACAACCTCAGAATCTCTATACAAAAAAATGTGGGACACCTCCAAGGAAAGGAGGTGTCCCACAGAGAACAAAAAAACAGTCCAGTTTTTTGCAACTACATTTAGCACTGCACCCCTTTTTGCAGTTGCAAAAATTTGTGTTCAGCAGTTTTTTCGGCGCAGGTGGAAGAAAAGTTCTAATGAATTGTCGACCAACTTCCAACCCCAGTCTATATGATAACCAAGCCACACTTGAACTTGGTAATATACCCAAAAAAAAAATATTGATGAGCAGCAACTGAGGTTGGAGGAAGACAAGGTACTGTACTTATCTCTGAGCAGGTAATTTTACCCCTTCTGTAAAATACAGATGTCGTATCACAGCCAGTTATTGCGTGTAAAAATATTTCATGATTTTGACACTTTGCAAAAGTAGATAAA